GCCAGGCCCGCGGGTGCTTTAATCCCCGTGCAGCCCATGCACGCCATGGGCCTGCCCCAGAAGCCTGTCCAGGAAACAAACACGCCCAAAGTGAGGGTAGAGACCGAGTGGGCCATGATCTATGCCGGTCGAGTAGGCTAGTGGGAAAATGAAAAAAACGAGAGAGAACAAAGGTTGGTTGCTAAAAAGGAGGAAGAAGAAAGGGAAACCTTTTTTTTTTTTCCAAAACTTTCAAGCTCGTTCAAATTCAAACCAAGTTTTAATTCAACCCTCACAAATCTATTCTACACTCAAACAAAAAAAAAGCACCAGCATAAATGCATCAAAAATATTTCTAGCATTTATATTTTTATTTAAATTTTCATAAATAAATTTATTATTGGTCTAATTAAATTATGGAAATTAAACAAAATAAATAATAATATTCAATATTTAGAAGAATAATTTTTATGGTGTTATAAGACCTCTCACCCACTGACCCACAAAACGAAGATCAAAAAGAGAAGGTGCAATCTCCTAGGAAAGAAATGCTTCCGAGCCATGACCAAAAAACTATTCTCATCAAGACGAAAGGAAGGTACGCAAAATGGAACTAAAACTACATCTTACTAAGGCACAAATTCGTGGCCCCATCTGCCTGCGTGGATGCTACACCCATTCGAGGGTGTAGAGCAGCCCTTACAATATGCGATGTATTAGATGGTGAGGCCTGGCCAGTGCTTGCGCTCTAGGTGACGATGGCAAGTGGAACAGTGGTGTGGAAAAGCATGACGAGCTTGGTGCCAAGGAAGACATCCTACGGTTGGTGAGGACTCGATAGTTAGTGCGAAAGGGCCCTTACGCACCAGAGATCCGTCCAACTCCTTGTTGAGCACACTCCGTGGCAGCTCTCGCCGATTCCGGTGGACAGCGACTCCTGTGCGAGGATCGTAGCTATCTTCTGTTATATGCTTTCAATGGATCGGTGGTGGGGAGACGTTCGGCGGGACTAGGAGTCGTGCTCCTGTGCATAGAGGAGAGGGTATGGAAGGGGGATATGCACAGTGTGGGTGGGTCGGTGGCGACATGTAGGTAAGTGATGGGGAGGTGTGGGACATGTGCGCAGACACTTACATCGTACTCCCTCCGTTCCTAAATAACTGTCGCTTTTAGTTTCTATGTCGTAAGTTTGACTAGATTTGTAGAAAATACGAGCAATTTTTATATCTCTGAATAAATTTATTATGAAAATAGATTCAACGATCTATCTAATGATATTAATTTTGTATCATAAATATTAATATTTATATATATATTTAGTCAAAGTTATTTCTCAGTAAGCAAAAACGACAGTTATTTAGGGATAGAGTGAGTAGCATAATAGTAAGTAGACATAATAATCCATTTATTTTTAATGCTATATGTCCAAAGATTTTTTAGCCAAGGTTGTGGATTTGAAACCATATCAACGTACAAGAAATCTGGTTATGATCAGAGTATTCTACTGTATTACAAAAAAATATTTGATTATTTGCACGAATTTTAATAATATTACATGCATTATGAAAAAGAAAAATAAATAACAAAACGACCTTTAATTTCCTTGGGCCACGTCCAGTCGCTACCTGGGCCATCAGTGGGCGTTTACGATTTCGGGGCAACCTTGGCGATTTTTTTTAACACTCTTTGTAAACTAATTTTAAATCTAACATTGTTTAATTTTTTTTTTCAAAACTAACACTTTTGACCGCGCCTATTTTTCGGGCGCATGTAATGAATTTGCTTTGCGCCATGCATGGTGGCGCGGCGAGAGGGATGACGTGGCGACGACCGGAGCGTTGACCGGTGACGTGGCAGGGTCTGCCGCGCCACCGATCTGGGCGCGGCACTGACGCGCCATGGAGAATGGCGCGGCGAGGCAAAGCTAGGCATGGCCGGAGCATAGGCCTGCCCGCACAGCCTCGCATGGCATCTAGGCCTGCTCATTGTAGCGGTGACACTGATGGAGCATGCGATGCCTTCCGGTTGCGTGTCCGAAGGACGATGGAGAGAATTAATTAAAGAAGCCTTCGGCCCTCGATGATGCTTTTTTCTTGCAAGGCTCAGTAGCCATGTCCCTCGCTAGGGCACTGTAGCCACAGTAGTGTGCTAGTGCTCCACCCTGGCAATCCTATGCTGCATGATGTACCTATAATTTCTTTCTCTTTCATCTGTTCCTATGTCGATAGCTCTACTGGTTGAAACTTTTTTTTTCCTAATCAAGTTAATTTCTATGTAACAAATTATTACATCGCATTACTTAATTTTATATAGGTATCATTAGTTGTTCCCTTTTTATTCCTAATTGTACTACTTTTCCTTTGTCGTTTTGACATCGCAGTACTTTTTTGCTAGCTAATAGATTTCGTTACCCACAGACAACTTTGGTCTCAGCTGCAAACATTTAAAAGTGTATGCTACAAGCATCACCCAACATAGTTTCACAGTTTAATACAACTTTATTCTCACTACATTAAATTTGCCACCAACTCTTGTAGAAGTTCTTTGAAATGAAATAGTTCATCGCTTTCTTGCCCTTGACATCTGCAGTACCTGTTCCATTTGCACTGGTACCTACTTTCATTCTTCTGCTTCACTTCCTTCTGAATCTTCTTTTGTCAGATTTTTGTATTGTTTCACTGGGTTCTCGTCCACCTTGTTTTTCTTCACTGTAAAAAAATTTGTAAGCTAACTCGATTTTAATAAATTGGCTTTCACTGTCACAGTGCTCTAGCAAGGGATGTGACTACTGAGTCTTACAAGCAAAAAGCATCCATTGATGGCCGAAGGCTTCTTTAATTAATTCTCCCCATTTTTCTATCGGACACGTAGCTGGAAGGCATCGCATGCTCCGTTAGCGTCACCGCTACAATGAGCAGGCCTAGATGCCATGCCGCGGGCAGGCCTATGCTCCGGCCATGCCTAGCTTTGCCTCGCCGCGTCATTCTCCATGGCGCGTCAGTGCCGCGCTCAGATCGGTGGCGCGGCAAACCCTACCACGTCACCGGTCAGCGTCCCGGTCGTTGCCACGTCATCTCTCTCGCCGCGCCATCATGTATGGCGCGGCACAGGCGTTTCGCCACGCCAGGGAAATAGGCGCGGCCAAAAGTGTTAGTTTTGGAGAAAAAATTTAAACAGTGTTAGATTTAAAATTAATTTACAAAAAGTGTTAAAAATATAAAAAAAATCATCTTGCCTCCCCCTGCCCTTATATCGCCACTCTCCCGAAACAAACCCCTGACATTCCTCGGAAAATTTAATTATTTGTCATTATAAAACAACGTCACCTACCTTTACATTATTTCCATTGAAGAGAAGTTTTGAGCAAATCTTTTACCATTTTTGTTTACATGCCACACCACGCTCGCGTGCCAAGCTAAAGCTCAGTTAGCAGGTCACGTGAAACGTCTTTCCTGTCCCTGCCCGTTAGACATATGTAGGTAGGGCCCACCTGTCATCCCCTCTCCACCGCTGCTTCTTCCTTTGGCACGGTTCAGATGCACCATATGGCTGCCGCTGGGCCGAGCTCACCATGACACCATGGCCTGGCCGAGCTCGCTCTCGCCGATGAGGCCAAGCTTGCCCGCGCCACCGGTGTCGAGCTCGCTCGTGGCTGGGGCTGAGCTCGCCCTTGCCACCGAGCAGGCAGGCAGGGCCATGGCGTCCTGCAGGTCCACGCCCACGCCCGACGTGGCGAGACCGTGGAGGAGCGCCAAGAGGCCGTTGCAGAGCTTGCGCGCGGTGCTCGCGGCGACCCTGGCGTGGAACAGCTCGTCCGACAGTAGCAGCGCAGCGCGGGTCCGCAGGAGCATGGCGCGAGCACCTCGATCGAGCACGTGCAGGAGCACGACCTCCTCGACGTTGGCGGCGGACATGGTGGGCCCAGGAGGCGCGCTCGTCGCAGCCCTGAGCATCCATGTGTTCGTGCCCTCTGCTTCCTCGCCAGTGGAGGCTGCGCATATCTGGCGACAAACGCGCTACGTCAGTGTCTCCCCACACGCGGCCACCGGTGGTCTGTGCTAGCTTCCCTTTGCTCGCGCACGCTGTCCGTAGGGTCTTGCGAAGTCCGCGCTGGCTAGCTCCGCCAAGGCTACATGGGCGGCGAGCTTCGCACTGGGCCACTGGCCATGCGGGGTGCAAGCTTCACTCAGTTCGCTGCTGCCGATCTCCATGCAGACCGTAGGCGCAGAGGAGGAAGGTCCGGGCACCGTGTCCATGACGATGAAGAGGAGGAAGGTAGCAGCAGCAGTGCACACCTCGTCTACCACGCTCTCCTCCCGCGCCGGCGTAAAGGCAATGGCAAAGGCTACTGAGTGTAGAAGGCAGAAGACATGGGCAAGGTAGTCATTTCCACCCACATGCTGACCGGACTGCAACGTGCCACGCCGTGCCACGTAAGTAAAAATGCCAAACAATCTAAACTTCTCTCCAATGGCAATAATGTAAAGGCAACTATAAGAATGGTAATCGGACAGGTGACGTTCTTTGTAATGGCAAATAGTTAATTTTCCCACATTCCTCCCCATTCGCCGTCGTTATGATCAGTGTATTCTACTGTATTACAAAAATTCTTTCATTGTTTGCATGAATTTTGGTAAAATAGTTACATGAATTACGAAAAAGAAAACAAATAAATAACAAAAGGGCCTGTTGCTTCCTTGGGCCGCTTCCAGTTCTCTAGTGTGCTACCTGGGCCGTTTACGATTTCAGGGCAACCTGGGCTCCCCTTGTCATTTCATCGCCACTCTCTTTGCTTTCAGTCCTCTCGTGAGCAAAGAGAGTGGCGATGAAATGACAAGGGGAGCCCAGGCGGCCCCGACCTTATCAGCGACCTCCCGGACGCCATCCTTGGCACCATCATCTCCCTCCTCCCCACCAACGCCGGCGCCCGGACTCGAGCCTTGTCCACGCGGTGGCGCAGCCTCTGGCCCTCCTCCCCACTCAACCTCTGCGACGGCGACATTCGTGGGTCCAGCCGCGACATGACGGCCATCGTCTCCCGGGTCCGCCTCTCCCTCGGCTGGCCCTGGTCACTCGTCATGTACCCCGACCTAGACTCCTGGCTTCGGTGCCCCGCGCTCGGCAACCTGCAGGAGCTCGAGCTGTGGCACGGGATCACACGTCCGTACCCGATGCCGCCGGCCGCGTTCCTGTTGTCATCCTCCTTCCGCGCCCTCGCCCTCAGCGGCGGCGATGGACCGTCTTGCGACGACGGTGACTACCTCAAGTATCCTGCGGATGACGTGGATAGGCTGCACTTTCCCAACCTCAAGCAGCTCACGATCAAGTGCGTCATCATCGCGGAGAGCGCGCTCGACACTCTGCTCAACAAATGCCCTGTGCTTGAGAGCTTGGAGCTGAGCGCAAATGTGGGCTTTGGTCGCCTCCAGATTAGCTCCCCTACCCTTAGAAGCTTTGGTGTTTCAGATAACCGCATAAAGCTGTGGGATCCTGAAAGGTTGAAAGAAGTCATTATTGAGGATGTGCCTCTCCTACAAAAATTCTTCATCAGAGTCCAACATTATTCCGAAAGAGAAGGTCTATCAGTTCAGATATCTGGGGCGCCCAAACTTCAGTTCTTGGGGTCGCTCACACATGACATTACAACACTTGAGCTTGAGACTGCTATTTTGAAGGTGTCTAGTTTGTAGCTTAATGTGCCATCCTCTTATGTTTATACAGCTTCTATTTCATGCTCTTACTGTTTATACCCAATGTTTTAATTCAGGAAACTATCTCTGTGAACTCAATGGCGGTTGTGCGATCAGTGAAGGTTTTGGTTGTGCACATGTCCCCTCCTAGTATCGATGATGTTATTGGCCTTATGAAATGTCTTCCCTGCTTGCAGAAGCTATATGTCAAGGTAACGAATGTTTCCCACCAGCCACCAATTTTTTTAATCTTGTTTCCAACTGCTCTTTTCCATTTTTATCATCCTGTAACCTGTTGGATCTGTCTTCATGTTGAATCATGATTGACAAGAAATCTTTTCTGCTTCATATTCAGGTTTCTCTGAAGGAGAGGTCGAAAAGGGTGCAGCGTCATAATCCACTTGATTATCTCGAATGCCTTGATCTCCGTCTGAAGAAACTATTATTGATAAATTATCAAGGGATGAAGAGAGACGTGGAATTTGCCAACTTCTTTCTTTTGAATGCTAAAGTGCTAGAAATGGTGGAATTAAGAACCCAGCGTCCGAGCTGTGATTCTAAATATTTGACTAAGCAGCATACAAAACTGCAGTTGAAGAACAAAGCTTCTTCTAAGGATACACTTCTCTTTATGTGTATTAGCCTTCGCTACTCGACGGCCTCGCGCGCTCTCCGCATGCCGTGCACGCGATAGCCGCCCGCTCGCCTGCCCCGTGCCCACGCCGGCCGGCCACTCGACACGCCGCCCCATGCGCTGGCCGTGCACGCACACAGCGTTGGCCACGAGGCGTGAGCTCGCCACTCCGGCCGCGCACGCTCGCAGCGCTGGCTGCAGACCTCTGGCTCCGCACGCCGTCAACGGGACACAGCAGGGAGGAGGCCTGGATGACCATGGAGCAGCTGGTTTGAACACGTGCCCCTCTCCACCGTCGCCTCGGGTCGCGTGAGGTCGCCTCCGTTGTGCATTTGTGCTGCTTCCCTTCCAAGCCTTCCTCAGGTCCCCGAAGCTCCACCGTGTTGCCCCAGTCGTGCTCACTCTGCCGGCGCGCACCCACACAGGACGCGCTCCTGTTCCTGGTCAACGGAGGTGCGAATGGCGGTGAGCCACTGGATGGCGGTGGTGGACTGGTGGCGCGGCGTAGGAGGGCTGGAACAAGCAGCGCGCGGTGCTGGAGGGCTGCAGCAGCGCGCGGTGTTGGACTTAGCGATGTGGGCGCGAGGTGCGTGAGGGCGGCGGGCGGCGGATGCAGTGGCTCAGCGTGGGGGGCCAGCGCGAAAAGGAGGGAAGTTTTTCTTAGCCGACGGATGATGCTTGGACGTCGGATACAGACCTGAAAGTTACGACGTGACTTGCAAGAGTAACATTACTGAATCTGAGTCCCCCCCACCCCCCCCACCCCCCCCACACACACACACAACGGACTCAGATTCAGTAACGTTACTCTGGGGTGGGGGGGTGGGTTTGCAAAATTTTGTTTATTGTTTTCCTGATCCATTTGTTGTCCCTGACCCCTGTCACCGATCCTGCCCACCGGTTGTTCTCCACAGCCTAGCCGATGGCACCATTGCTGGCTTGCCTCGCCACCACCGCCGAACTGGCCGCTGCCCCCGACCATCCCTGTAGAGCCAGTGGATATTGCAAATTCCTCCAAAAGCCCAAACTCTAGCTCTAAGCCTGTCCACCCCATCACCGCCTGTCTGATTCACCACCCGTGGTTAGCGGTGAGCATGTGGGTGTTGAACATAGAAGATGCTTTGGTGTCACACTACGAAGACGACGATGCAGCTCCCTCCACTCACCTCTGGACGCATATCTGCGCATTGTTTGCATCTGTCGGTGGACGCACGACGAATAAGGACTTCGGAATTCTGGCCCAAATCAATCTTGATATAAATAGCTACGCACATGAACGCATGCATGCAGTCGAGAGGAACAAAATGAGAAAAGAGATCACAATGCACACATCATCAATTGGGAAAAAAATATTGGTTGTATTTGTACACTTCAACAAAGTTGAATTGGCTCAAAACCTGAAAATATAAGGGATGTACTTAGACAGGACCAAATAGTCTCATAGCTAGATCATGCATTGACCCCCCTGAGTGTGTACATAATGTTACATTTTTGTGGACCTATCTTCTAGGACAAAAAAAAGGAGAGAAAAATTCCAGGTGGATACTACTAATTTCTCGTGAATTTGTCAGTAACAACACAGGCTGTCATGCACCCTGTCCCTGCTATCAGAAAATGAAATAATTTTGATGCACATTTTCAACGAAAAGAGGAAAAAAAAAAGATCACAAAAGAAGGATGGGACGTACGTGCATAACTTAGAGCGCGCAACACATGAGAAATCTGTGCGCACACGCACAGCGGCACACTCATGAACACCGTCCTCTCAGAAGGCAAAGATGGCGCCGGCGGCCGCCAGAGCGGCGCCAGCAACCGCAGCAGAAGCGGCTGGGCCGCGTACGGAAGCAGCGGTGGCGCTGCTGCTATCGGGAGGCCCCGGGGGCGCGAGCTCCGGCTCGGGCTCCGTCATGGTGGTGCCGATGGGCGAGCCCACGGGCGCCGCGTTATCGTCGTCAATGGCGTCGTCGGCGACGGGTCCATCGGCGCCCTCGAAGGACCCCACGGGGGTGTGCGCGATGGGCGTCAGGATGCTCGGCTTGGTGTCGGCATCGTCGGGAGCGGCGGCGCCGGTGGTGGGCGAGGACGCGGCGGCCCCCGTGAGGACGACGAGGAGCAGGACGGCGCGGGACACTGCAGCCATGGTGCGTGCACCCTGCAGGGCCAGAGCTTGCGCTGATTAACAAGCAGACGTTAATTCGGTCGCTCTTGCGTGAGTGAATAGGTAATTTTGGTGAGGATTATTGCAGGTGGATGAAGAGAGGCATGGACGCAGCAGGTACGAGTATATTTCTGGTAGGGTGCATGGCATGCGCGATCGGAGAAGGCGAGCGAGCGTGCGGCGAAACCGGCGGTCTAGACAGAGACGAGAACGGGTGGAGGCGAGTTGACGTGAGCCTCATGTACGTGGATGGTGGAGAGGACACAACCTTCGTAATCGTAGGAAACTATTAAATCTTTAAATTATTTAAGCTAGCCACCAACAATGATTTTTCGTTACAAGTAACAGTAGCAGAACAATCGGACCCAGCATTTGGTGACGAGGACCAAATTCTAATAGCGAAAAGCAGAAAGCTACACCATCATTAATAGTTATTCTCAAGCAAAGTTTGCAAAAAGTTGTTCAACGTACATTATTAATAGTAGGATACAGTAGCTAAGGAAATGACATGGAACATTAAGAAACATATACCTTATATTCAGTGCATTCGCATCTTTCACTTCCATATCCTCAACGACGACTCCTAATTTGAATAAGATTTAAGAGTTAATAAAAGAAAGGACAAACAAAAAATTAAGCTTATTTATTATTATGCATTTGTACTCTGAAAGTAACATATCAGAGAAGTATTACCACTATACTAGGTAGTTTAGGTCTTCTTTCGGTTCTTCAATTCTTGAAAATGATGTAAGATGTTATCATTTTTAATGGTTGCAAATACCTCTCGCTCAATTCTATGATTCAACCTTCGTAGCTAAGAAAATCCTTTCTACTGTGGTGGTTGTAACCGGTAAAATCAAGGCTAACCCAATGAGGTGATAAACCAACTCAAATTTTGCGTTCAGTCAGTTTGAACCATCTTTATAGCAAGAATCACTACTAGAAATATCCACTTCTATGACAAAAATCTTAATGACGATTCTGAAACTGTCATAGAAGATCGTTTTTTATGATGAATATTTCCGTTTCGTCATAGATCAATGGTGACGATCCTCAAACCCTCTTTATATATGATGAAATCATATATCGTCACAAGAAACTTCATAGAAGAGCACATGGTTTCGCCACCGATCACTCGCGTGACTCATATGTGACGATGTTCTTTAATACTGTGACGAATAGGGCTTCGTCATTGAACTAATTACACATATGTGACGAACAATATTCGATCTGTAACAAACAGTGTTTCATCATAAATCTCCATACGGTCCTTTCTCCATCCGACGTCTACCTGTGGGCTCAGTAGTTACTCATCTGTGACACTTACAATTCATCATAAAAGTCTCCGCTCGATCCCTTCTCCATCCTACCAGTGGGACCCGACGGCTTACGTGTCACTTGTGCTTGTGGACCCTTCTCCATCCGACCTGTGGGACCCGACGGCTTGCGTGTCACTTGTGGACCCTTCTCCACCCAACCTATATGACCCGACGGCTTATGTGTTACGTGTACCTGTAGGACCTTTCTCCATCTTCATTTGACCTGTGGGACCCAACGATTTGCGTGTTACTTGTACCTTATGTGCCGCCGGGGTTTAATAAAATCTAATTCTAAAAAACCATGAGACCTGGGAGTCGAACCCGGGATCCAGTGCAAGGAATGGACCATCTTCACCATTGCACTAGACGCCTGGTTGTGTTGACATGTCTTTGGAGTCCTTATAGTAGTATATATTCTCTGTGTGTATGCCCTACAAGTTGACCTATATATTCGATATCCACTGCAAGTGAAAACAAACCTATGCCCGTTGACTTGCGGTGGCGGTGGTGGCAGCGGAGGATCCTTGGTGTGCTGTGGCGGCTAAGGCATCCTTTTGTAGGCTAGGCGGCGGGGCTTCTCGGTGGAGCGTGGCGGTATTGGCATTCGTGTCCATTGTGTGCCGCGGCAGAGGTGACATATCTGATCCGCGGGTCTCCTTTCTTGTCTTTTCCTGTTCACTTCACTGTTTTGGTCCTTACTTGAACATGAGATATACAAGAAATATTCTAGCGTTGGAGATCTAGTTAGGCCAATAATGATGAAAAGAAGTAGGAGGTGGCACTGGTTGGTTTTCTGCTGATGTCTTGGTTTTCTGCATATGTTCAATGTTCTTACAACTATAAATGTCTATGTGCAACTAGGCCTATTAATTGTCAAGTGTTTGCTTGATTATACCTATCTATCTAGGCAAACAAACAGACCCTTTGTTTTTGTCTTAAACTATTTTTTTTTGTCCAATGCTTACTTGATTCTACATTTATGTTCCGTATGCTCCAGTGCCACCAGTGAGTCCTTATGGTATTTTGAACTTGTAACATATCTGAGGCCATATTTCTGTGCTAATGATGTCTACATGGTTGTTGGATGTATTAGGATACAGCTCATACGTTTGCTTTATGTGTCTTCTCCTTGGTGACAACCAAGTTATCCATTTGGTTCCAAATAAGAGGAAGGCATCGAAAGCAAATCAATACTTTGTGTCCATCATTCATATAACTGAGGCCTACCAATGTTTAAGCTGCACATGTTTCTACTGATGCCAATGATGATCACTACCACTTGTTCACTGACATTATACTTGTGAAAACCGAGCAAGCTCCATTAACTGCTAAAATTGTAATGGTTACAGCTCAATTAACTGCTACTCTAGTTTGAGTTATATATATCTATGTGGTGCTACTCTAAATTTAGATGAGGTCGTACTATGAAAATTGTTAATAGTTGTTAAAGTTGCACTTTGGTATGAGTTGTGGATTTCACTGATGGATCTTTGTTGGATTATTATCCACTTTAGTATCTCATTACTAAGGAAGCTCTAATCGTACTGCACACTGACGATCGCAGGCTCTTCAAAATGGAGGAG